GGTACTCCAACTCCTCCAGGATGGCACATCAATACGTGTCATTGCCAGAAGGTTTGCTGTGTCTCCCAGCACAGTCTCAAGAGCATGGAGGAGATTCCAGGAGACAGGCAGTAACCCTAGGAGAGCTGGACAGGGCCGTAGAAGGTCCTTAACCCATCAGCAGGACCGGTATCTGCTCCTTTGTGTAAGGAGAAACAGGATGAGCACTGCCAGAGCCCTACAAAATGACCTCCAGCAGGCCACTGGTGTGAATGTCTTTGACCAAACAATCAGCAACAGACTTCATGAGGGTGGCCTGAGGGCCCGTCATCCTCTAGTGGGCCCTGTGCTCACTGCCCGGCACCATAGAGCTTGGTTGGCATTTGCCATTGAACACCAGAATTGGCAGGTCCACCACTGGCACCCTGTACTTTTAACAGATTAGAGCAGGTTCACCCTGAGCACATGTGACAGATGAGAAAGGGTCTGGGGAAGCCGTGGAGAACGTTCTGCTGCCTGTAACATGGTTCAGCATGACCGTTTTGGTTGTGGGTCAGTGATGGTCTGGGGAGGCATACCCATGGAGGGGCGCACAGACCTCTACAGTCTAGACAATGGCACCCTGACTGCCATTAGGTATCGGGATGAAATCCTTGGACCCATTGTCAGACCCTACACTGGTGCAGTGGGTCCTAGGTTCCTCCTGGTACAGTGGGTCCTGGGTTCCTCCTGGTACAGTGGGTCCTGAGTTCCTCCTGGTACAGTGGGTCCTGAGTTCCTCCAGGTGCACGACAATGCCCGGCCTCATGTGGGGAGAGTATGCAGACAGTTCCTGGAGGATGAAGGAATTGATACCATTGAATGGCCCCCACACTTGCCTGACCTAAATCCTATAGAACACCTCTGGGATGTCATGTTTCGGTCCATCCGACGCCACCAGGTTGCACCACAGACTGTCAAGGAGCTCAGTGATGCTCTGGTCCAGATCTGGGAGGAAATCCCCCAGGGCACCATCTGTAATCTCATTAGGACCCTCCCCCGACGTTGTCAGGCATGCATACAAGCACGTGGTGGCCACACAAACTACTGAGGACCATTCTGAGTTGCTGCAATGACATTTCAGCAAAATGGACTCGCCTGCTGCATCATTTTTTCACTTTGATTTTCGGGGTGTCTTTGAATTCAGTCCCCTGTAGGTCGATCATTTCCGTCAAACGATGGGGAATCCTCACACATTACTCCGTCCATATCAATATAGATATCCAGCAGGAGATTCTCCTCATTGAGATCTGATGTGTTTTCAAAGTGTTCCTTTCATTTTTTTTTTGAGCCGTGTGTATGTGTATATATATAAATATATTTATATATTTTCCCATGTCAAGGAAATCTTCCTTCTTGGTTCTTCTTTTTCCTTGAACAAGCACAAATGATGGGTAGAAGATTTACCACCAAAGGATACTGTATAATCAACAATTTATAGATGATAAGATCAAAGAAGACATGGATAGAGGTAAACTGATCAACACAGTTAGGGAGGATAAACAATGTAAGGATATGGCACCAATTATCCTGGAGTATAATATACAATATAAACAAGTAGAGAATTCATACAACAGCATTGGCATATACTGTACTTAAGGCAGATAAACCATTTTGCACTACCCAACCTGATCAACCCAGATTTCATATATATATAAAAGCTCCCACAATAAGAGCTCATGTACACTGCAGCTGAGATAAACTGACGTTTAGGAGCTTTTCTGCATTTTTTTCAGCAGCCCCTGAACTCTCCCTAATGTTTTCCTATGTGTCCATGTCAGGGGCGGACTGACCATTTGGAAACTAGGGCACTGCCCAAGGGCCCGGGGTCAGTAGGGGGCCCCATGAGATGCCCCTGGTACATTTTTCATAGGCTTTTTTGAGTTTGGGCAAGGACACAGGGGCCCCATGATCCCCTATTGCCCGGGGGCCCCATGAGTTGTCAGTCCGCCCCTGGTCCATGTACACATCATTGTTTACAGGCAGTTGAGTTAACAGTCGTTTTTTTGAACGCACCAAACTTGCGTTCAGGAGTAGATTTTATCAGTGTTTCAAATGCCAAACGCTTGTAAGTGAGGTTAACGGCGTTTATAAGCGTTTGCATTTTGAAGCATTTTTTAACTGTTCCATGTCCAGATGCTGTCCAGAGCCTTTTTTCTGCATCAAAAATGCATGCAAAGCGTTTTCCATGTATTCAAATGGACGCGGTACACCAGCGCAGTCAGTTCCAGGTTTCGCGTGAAGGAAAAAATGGTAGAACGCACCGCATTATTCTCATGATGGGATCCATAGTGAATACAACCAGAAAAGACAGGTAATCTCAACACATACTGCTCTCTCTGCTTCTGCTCTCTCTATTTCTATCAAAATGTCTGCAATAGTTAATTTTTTACTGTTTTTCAATGCATTCTGGGCATTTGGGAAGGTTTCCTGAGGTTATCTTAAAAAAAACGCTTCTAAACGCAAACAAGCATAAGCGCGGTATGCAAACGCGCTAAACTGAAGTTTTTTTTAACCTACGTTTTCCAACAGTCAGTTTCCATCGTTCAGAAGAGTTTTCCAAACATCCCGTGTACATGGAACCTAAGGAAAAAAATTGTAAAAAATGTAATTGAACCACCAACAAAAAATAATTTCTCTTTTGTCTCGGGAAAAGGATTCTACCCATGTAAAAGGCGTGACGCGTGCAGCCAGACAAGAAGACAGAATGAGAAGAAGTCTGAATTTATGGCTACCAGTACAGGAGAAATCCATCCAATGAAAGCATTCATATGGTGTAATACTGAAGGGGTAGTCTATATATTGGAGTGCACATGTAAATTATAATATGTGGGCAGAACTAAACGACCACTGAAGGTGAGAATTAACCCCCCTGGTGGTATTCCCGAGTGTAGCTCGGGGGTAAAGTTTCAGTACCAAAAGCGGTAACCCCGAGCTACACTCGGGCTTACCATGCGGCGCTGCTCCGGGATCCCTTGATCACTTACCTTGTCCTGCGCTCCCGCGATGTCCCTCCTGCAGTGTCCCCGGCAATGTAATCCGGCCGATGCCAGCATCTGTCTTCTGGGTTCTGTTCCCTGCGACGGCGGGACGTACGGGGGACGGAACGGCGGGAAATTTGAAAATGACAAAAAGTGACATTCACTAAAATCACATAGTATAACATTCCTGTATCAAACCATTTCACATACATTTTGTCCCGAGTGCTTTGTCCGGCGCCCTGCCTGCATTTTTACTGTTCTTTCTGCCTGGAAACTGAGAAACGTCCATGGCGTCCAAAAAGCGTCCCTTTAGGTCAAAATCGGTTTTAGACCGGCTAGAGAACAGCGATAGTAAATCAGAACCACTTGCAGAATTGAGTGATAATGATTCGTGGGGGAAATTCCTCATCAGACACTGAAAACGATTTTGCGACTTTGCTCAGTGATGTGCAAACTTGGCGCTATATTTCACATTTCAGTGTTTTTGGTTTGATTATATTATTGAATTAAATGTATTATTATATTATTATTTTTTATGATTATTTATTAAATTATAATTTATGATTTCGTGTTTCAAGTTTTATCATCCCCGGGATGTTTACTAGACTCTTGTTCGGACAGATTTATTCCTAAAAATTACAGGCCTGCAATTAAAAAAATACATATTTCCATAAAAATGTACCACTTTGAGCACAGAAATATGGACATAATCAGACCGCTAGGGAGGTTAAGGAACACATACAGAATATCAAAAAAGGTTTCACCAAACACTTTGCACTAGTGCATAATAAGGATCCGTCTCACCTTAACCACTTCCCATGTCGATAGACGGCCGGACGGGAGCAGTGCCTAGGTGGGTGGCCGTTTATAAACGACCCCCCCATTCACTGCCTGTGCGCACTCCCTGGGATCTGGTGGTCCTGATTCATGTGATCACTGATTGGCCAATCAGTGATCACATGAATAGGTGTAAGCAAGATGTCACTTCTGACATCATTGCTTACTACGTGTGAAATCTGTGAATGATCACAGAGATCACATGGTACAGGGCCATTCACAACAGCCTTGTACCATGTGACAAGCTGTGACCAATAACAGCTTTCACAGTATTTCTCAATGGTTGCAGGAATGCAGCCAGAGAGAAGGAGAAATGATTGCTTTTACAGCCTTTATGAGTGTAAAAGCAATCAGTGTAAAAAAAAAAAAACAATCTTCATCACCCCCCACAAGTAGTACAGTGTCACTATGGTGACACTGTACTGCTAGGGTGACAGTATGTTAAAAAAATAATAATAATAATAATAATAATAATATAAAAAAATAAATAAAAATGTAAAAAATGTTTTTGAAAAATTATCATTTTTGGTTATTAAGTAATTTGTTGTTTTTTTTTTTTTTTTTTTTACTAAAAAGATAGATGAATACATTTTGGTCGAGATTTATGAAGAAAGGTTATTTATTTGCAAAATTTTATAAAAAAAACACCTTTTTTTTTCAAAACATTTGGATGTTTTCATTTATATAGCAAAACAATAAAAATCCCAGGATGAATAAATACCACCAAAATAAAGTTTTATCTGTCTCAAAAAAATGCTAAAAAATTCAAATGGGTACAGTGTTGCATGACCGCGCAATTGTCATTCAGTGTGATAGCGCTGAAAGCTGAAAATTGGCCTGGACTGGAAGGGGTGAAAGTGTCCGGACTGCAAGTGGTTAATGTTTTTCCCATCAATAACCCTGTTAATGTACACAAGTTTTTTCTAACCATGTGGCAACCCTGACTGCTAAGCATGCGGCCAGTGTTACACTGTGCCATTCCACCCTGCAGTGTGATGCTGCTGCTGCTGTGTGAGTCGCTCTTCCAGCCATTGTCCCTCCCTGTCTGCTGAGAGTCACTCACACCAGAAGAGAAGCCTCCATAGCAACCCCTTCCTCTACAGTAAACAGATCTGCCCCAGGTGAATTGTTCCCAACCGTCAGATTTTCCCCTCTCCTAAACTCATGGATGCCTCAGAAGACTTCCCTCTGAAGGACCAAGTCAGACAGCTGAGCAATGAAAATGTGAGTAGACCACCAAAAAAAAAAGACACACAGGGGGAAACTTTTTGAATTTTTTTTTTTAACTGCGGAGTCTTCAGACTGCAACCTTGCCCTGGAAGATCACAAAGTACTGCATGCTGCTTTACAGGGTTACTTGATAATATCACATTTTTGTTGTCTTTTAAGTATTTCGAGTAGCAAAACTATTTTTTTTAGTAACTTTTAACATGTTTTATTTAATTTTTTTCTTAATATTAATTGATATTTCAGTAGGATATTACAATCACCTGTTTCCCTCTTCCCTTCCTTATTTTGTTGTCTTTTATGTATTTGTATTGACTTAACAATTTTGTTGTATCTTTTAACGTTTTTTATTTTCTTATGCTTTATATTTTCTAGATATTTACAGTATTATTAATTTGTATTTCCACAGCAGATTATCACCATCCTGTTACTCCTTTCCCTTCTCTATTTTTTGTCTTTTATGTATTTATATTAACTATTAATTAAGCTGTAACTTTTTATCAACAATTAAGCTGTAACTTTTAACATTTTCTTATACTTTTATTTTATTAATTGGTATTTCCGTAAGAGATTATCATCACCATGTTACCCTCTTCCATTGACTTCCCTAATTCTTTCCCACAACATTTAGTTGAAGGTATATTACTATTACAGGTACTTATGTAGTGCCATCAATTTGTGTAGCATATATATATATATATATATATATATATATATATACACACACACAGGCATACCTCGGTTTACAAGTAAAAATCCATTGAAAATAATGCCTAGGTTTACAAATTTTTTCCACAATAAGAATGGATTAATTGGTTTTAAATTGCATTTACAAATTTTTGTTTAATCATATCCCTGTCCAGTATTTACTGTATGTCTTTAAAGTGCACTTTATAAAGAGTTTTCAACAGATTCATTTTTTTTTACTTTTTTCTTACCTCCGGAATGGAATACTGTAATTGGTTTTCAATGCATTTACAAATTGTTTTTTAATCATGTCCCTGTACAGTATTTGTGCCTTTAAAGTGCACTTTATAAAGAGTTTTGACCAAAAAAAAAGACTTTTTTGAAACTTGTTTCTGACCTCTGGAACGGATTAATTGGTTTTCAATGCATTCCTGCGGGAAACCGCGTTTTGGTTTACGAATGTCTCGCTATATATAGGAAAAGTCCCGCAGAACAAATTAAATTTGTAAACTAAGGTACGCCTGTATGTATATATATACTGTATATACACACACACCAGGGGCGGACTGACCATTCGAGCACTCGGGCACTGCCCATGGGGCCGGGGGCAGGAGGGGGCCCCATGAAATTCCCCTGGTACCTTTTATAGGCTTTTTTGGGTGTGCTTTCAGTGTGGGCAAGGACACAGGGGCCTCATGATCCCCTATTGCCCGGGGGCTCCGTGAGTTGTCAGTTCACCCCTGATACACACACACGAAGTAGGGATGCACCAATACTTGTTTTTTATCAGCAAGTACGAGTAACGATACTTTTGGTCAAGTACTCACCGATACCAATTACCGATACTTTGCGGTGCGATTTGTATCAATACAAAATGTATGGCCGCAAATTGCACCGCAAAGATTAGCATGCTGTTGGAACAAGAATGTGATTCCTATCCAAATCACATGTGGTTTCCACGCTGCTTCTGTGTGAACCCTAGGTTGTCAAAGCCTGAGCTCACCCAGAAGCAGTGCAGGGACGTTTCCCACAGTGGACATTGGGGATGTATACTGTGGTGGCAGTTGCTTCATATTCTCAATGGTAGGAGAGGAGAGAAAGCATCAGGGATTAGAATTCCCTGTCTGTTTCTCTCCTTACTCGTGAAAATATTTGGTATTGGCACTGATACCGGTATAGATGCATGCCTAATACGAGGTGTTATCAAAAGGTTTCGAGATTAGTTTTGTAACACACCAACAGATGGCATCACAAGGTGGCATGCACAGTCACATGGAACACCGACCTTCATAAGTCAGTGTGCCAAAAGACATCGTCCTGTGTACATCGGGAGCTATGCAACTAGTGCTATTCTGACCACGTGCGTTACCACGTCTTCTATTTCATCATGGACAGCGGTCCTAACTCTATAAATTTTGAGATTCTCCAAAGTTAGAGCACGTATATAATAATGGATTGATTAAGGGCAGGTATGCCTGGAGGGAGCCCACCCCTCCTTAAAGGTACAGGGACATACAGCAAGAGCACAATGGCAGCTGAAGGTACCCAGTGTGTTCCCATACTGATCCACTTCAACTTTACAAACAAATGGCAGCCGCCCAACCTACAGTTGCAAGAAAAAGTATGTGAACCCCTTGGGATTACGTGGAGTTTTGCATGAATTGGACATAAAAGGCAAACCTTTATTTAGGACTGCAGTACTCTGGGGTACCATGATGTGGCCACTGCAGCTTATACAAATATTTTTAAAGGTGTGCAAACTAAACCCCTTGTTTTTAACATGAACTGTTGGACAGGGTCAATTTGGTTTTGTTGCAGGCTGACTGTTAAGTGAGGTGGGAATTTTATTTATTATTTTTGATAGGTGTGAATGCAGCCTAAATGTTTGCATATGAGTGTAGCAATCATGCCCACGGTTCAACCATTTTGGCTCCAATCTCCATCTTGGAAAAGGATCCTCCATCTTGTACAAACATATCCCCCTCGTTCTTATTCTTCCTCTCTGTTCAGCCACAGTGACATATGGCCTGTGTGTTGGCAGTGTCACAGGAGGCCTGAGCACAGCAGGGAGCCCCGAGTTATAAAACCCCCAAGGGAGCTGGGGCCTCGCTGTCCAAAGTACCTGTGCCATCTAGCACATCGTAAAAAGATCACCCAAGCCTTCTCCTGAGTTCAAACACATTCCAGAGGAGTAGAGCCTAGATAACACTTTTAAAATCCATTTTTCCCCTATGTCTCATATCTTGGAATATGAGAGACTTACATAAAAACCAGGTATATCTTCAGGTTGGCCACGAGAAGACAGTTTGATAGGTCACACTCCCTGACTGGAATACCTAGGACAGCAGAAAATTACATCTCTTGAACCCTTCAAATATGTATTTCATATTTCATATGTAACCGTTCCTCAGATGTGTGTGCATACTAATCTACCCGCGGGTGGAATGGTACTTGTGCATAGGAAAAGCTGTTAGCCAAAAAATATGAGTTAAGAGAGATTTTGGCTCTAGTTTAGGTTTACGCCCAGACCTTCCCTCCCTAAATGAAGCATTGGTCCTTGGCTTTAGAGACCCCCCCCCCGCTGCGGGACTACAAAATGGGCTGTCAGGCCTAAGGGAGTAAGTTGAAGAATTCTCCCTTTTAACATCAGGACCATTTGGGACATCGTGCCCTTTTGCTCTGAAACTTGATCTGCAAACCCAAAGCTGATTGGCAAGTACTTTAACCCTTTAATCTCCTTTCTGTTACCTCTTTGCTGTGCTGTTGTTCTCTGTAGATTTATATATATATTGGTTACATCTTTGTTCTATAAATATTTTTATTGCACCCTTTTGACCTTTTAGTAATAAATCTCTCTTTATGAAAGTGTTGAACTGTTTCTATAGCTCTTTATTGCAACTTAAGCATTCCTGCCTCTAAAGGTGCGCTACTGTGTTTGTTTAACCCTCTGTATAACCTGTCTTTGGTGACAGTGCTATACAGACGATTATCTCAACCATCAGTAGTGTTATTACTGAGTTTCCTCTTTTTCTGTACAAAAAGGAGGTGGTGGCAGTGTGAAGGGTTAATTGCGTAATTAACCTGACCCAGTAACAATCGCATTCAGGCTGCCGGTACATCGATTGGTGGTCCCTTAGCTGGAAAATCGTTGTGCAGGGTGCAGCTGGGTGTGGCATTGATACAAACATGACATCGCAGTTTTAGATTGGCTAGTCCTTCAGTCACGAGTTTGGTGAGAAGGTCAGGAGTCTGACGCCACGATCGCCACAATGAGATCAAAACATAATTTACAAGAAATGTTTTATGAACAGGTCTGGAAATACTCAGAAGGTCTCATGCACATGGAAGGAATTAAAGTAGAACTATAGGCAAACCTTTCTTTTTCATTTTGGATCATGTAAGGGAGGGTCTAATCCCTGTCAGTTTTTTGGGGGGGTTTCACCATCTGTGTCCCATTGGGGAGATTCCCCTTCACTTCCTGTCCCATAACCAAAATAGGAAGGGAGAGGAAATCCCTCCAAATAAAGTGAATTCCTTGGGACCCCCCAGGTCACCAGAGCTATTGTCCCCATTGGAAAATTGGGATTTACTTTCACTTTCAATGATAACAGTAAATAGGGAAAATAGAGAGGGAGAATCTCCTTAATGGGACCACAGATAGTAATTAAACCCAACAGGGGTTCTAAATCCCTCTCCACTCTATCTAATTTAAAAAAATAAAATAGCCTTTTAGTTATACTTAGCATAAAATATGCCTAGCATAAAAACACATCTTTTCTCAGTTGAGGAGCAGCAGGTGTTGCGTACAGCCAGCCATAGAAGTGAATGGCTGTACGCCCCCTGTACTCGTGTAAACAGCAATGCTTCTTTGCATCAGAATTTTCCTGTGCAATTGTTTTGTGCTTAGCCCAGTGCTGTCACATGGGGAGCAGGGAGACAGTAAATCCTGCAAATGTTCCAACAGAAATTCCAATTTACAATACAATTTTAGCTTTTTCTGGTGTGTACGCCGCACTACTCCTCCGTAAGTTTGTCAATATTTATTCTTTTTCAGTGATTCAATATTGTCTCTCCCCCTCAGATACAACTGCTGGATCGCAATGAGAGGTTGTATGCCAAGCTGAACGAGTTGCAGGAGAAGATGGGGAAACTGGCTGGCTCCAAGACTGATCTGTCCTCCAGACTGGTCCTTAGCGAAGAAGAAAAGCTAAAGGTATAGGTGTGATTTATCATGGGTCGTAGTGTAAAAGGGAGGTCACCAACCAGTGACTGGTGCATGATGTACCATGTGATGTGGCTTGTGATGGATACCTCAGGTTACTGGACACAATGAAATTTCATTGGGGTGCAGTCAGGGGCGTATTTACAAGGCATTTACCTTGGGCAGCATTATTTAGGGGGGAAACACCGCCCCCCAGAAGAAGGGACACACGAGGCAGGTGACAGAGGATGGGGACCAGGTGAGGCACTGCCTGAGCTCCCCCATGGGATCCGAGAGACACTGAGGGCTGCTGGAGGGTGTAGGCAGAGGCCAACTCTTGTTCCCACACAAGGACGACACTGGGCTTTCCTGACCATGTCTCCAGGGATGGTCAGCTGCTTTAATTCCGAAGGTGAGTGCTGGAGGAACGTCTCTCTTCTCTCTCTTCCTTTTTAGATTGGGGGGCAGAAGGCAGGATCTGGAATGATGATCAAAAAGTACCTGGGCTACCCATTGGTGCCAGATAAGCGTAGTACCTGGATATGTACATTTGACCTGTGGTCTAAGCAGGCCCAGTTTGTTCTAAGAAGCTTGCTTGTTCATTCTTAGAAGTTTTTTCTGAAAGAGTCTAACATACACAGGTACCCCAAGTGTAGAAAGGTTAACTGTTTCAAAGTCCAATTTCAGTAAATATTTTTCTTGTTTTGGACAAGATTGAACTTCTGTTTGGTCTATATTGCTGTCTGTGTTCCCACTAAGAGATTTCCCATCTCTTCCTGTCTCAGTAACAGGAAATCAGATGAGCATGATATGGGAAATGTCTTTGCTGGGAACATAGGCAGCAAATATTAAAAAAAAAACATTTTTAGTGCAATGGGGAAAGGTTACAGCACTGATCAGGTTTTATTGTGGTCCATTCTTTCCTGTCCTGGTGACCCTTATTTTCCTCGTTTCTTTTCCTGCTGTGACAGTGAGTGGAAATCTGCCCAGTGTAATCAGAAGTTCTAATCCCACTCTTTTACAAAGTAAAAAAAAAATTCTGTCTCAAGCTGTGCTTTATAAATAATTATCGTTGGGCAAACATTTTCAGTCTTCTTTCCCTCATTCTGATAGACCTCCTCAGTATAGCCTGCCTTTAAGGGTCTGGGTTCAGTGTTAGTTGGAAATTAAGGGTAAGGTTTGGTTAAAGTTTTAGATTTAGACTGAGGTTTGGGGTATCTTTTTTTGGGGAGTAGTAATGTAGGCTTTTAAATATATGATAAATATGTTGGAGCCAAACCCTTCACACCCCCATAAACAACCATGTCAGATATGGTGCAGATTTTTTGACTCTCCATCATCTTCCAACACATATCTATTTTTGTAGATTTCAAAGGAGCTCATTGAACTTCAGATAGAGACCAACAAAATAAGGGAACATTATGAGGCCGAGACCTTTGAACTGAAGAACACGGTAAGCTGATTTTTAAATGCATAATGGCAAGGACACCTAAGTCCACTTCAACTTTTACTTTAAACCATTCAGAATTTTTTTATATCTGCCCTAGGTCCTGGCAATGGAGAACCGGTTAATGACTCTGGAACTTCAGAAGGAGAAGTTGACAGGTGAGTACGAAGCTGTGAAGGAACGTCTACATTCGGTGGAGACCAACCGCAAGGAGCTGGCTGATGAGTACATAGTTCTGAAGAGCAACTACCTGGCCCTGAGCAAAGAGCATGAAAGAGAGGTGAGAAGCTTCTTGTAGGCAAAAAAACATGTACTATAAATGATGAACTACCAAAATTGACATGTATTAGTCCCTAAAGAAGGAAGAATTATGGAAAACCAGGATATTGTTTAAAAATAAAAGCTGCTTTTACTGAATACAACCAATTAACACCTGTATCTGAAAATGTGGTATTGGTACCCAGTCTCTTGGATACCATGCATTGCATGTGCAAGCGTTAAGGAAGAAGAATAGTAACATGCATAATGTTAAACGTCACATTTTGGCCCCAGTACGTGAAAGACGGAAATGCAACAGTACCATAAACTCCACATATTTTTCACAGAAAGTTTTTCTAAAATAATAATGGCGGGTAAATTTTTTACATATTAGATTTTCATACACAAACACTGTTGAATGGAGACCTGTCATGAGAGAAGCATGGAGGTTGCTAGATGACTGGCTGCCTTTCTATTCATTGCTTCTTGAGATTCTGACATGGATCAAGTATAAAAAAGAGGAATTCGGATACTCATTATCACCAGCATGCTCAAAAATTAGTAATTCCAGACACAGTCAGGCAACAATCTAATTTCAGATGGAAACCAGCAATGGCAGCCCCATACTTCTAACATGGCAAGATCACTTTAATTGAGTCCTTATTTTACCCACTCTGAACTTTGTTCCTTTGATCTCTTGCTGACATCAAGTGACCTTATCCACCCAGCAGTCTTTACCTTCCTCTCCAGATCTCTATGTCCATCTATTAGCAAGTACAAAGTGCAGTAGCCAATAGCAAGCACCCGGAATTCATTTTTCAGTTGTCTGCTTTTAGTAAACTCAAAGAAGATTGGATGCCTTGGGTTAGGCTGTTGCCTCTGCTGTGCTCTGTTGGCTAACACTACATGTCTATTCTTACAGGTGGCCAAAAATGATGAGTTGAGTATGGAGCTCCTGAACCTGGCTAAGAGGGAAAATGAGGAGAACTATTCTCAGTCTCGGGCACTCGTCGATGAGGCCACCATGGAGCTGGAGAGGGTTCGGGCCATGGTGGACCGCCTGTCGGCACGTAAGATCAAGGTACAGGAACCAGTCTGGTATGACCAATAATACTTAGCACTGCCTAATTCATAGTGTTTTTCACATACTAGCCAAGGGATTTCACTTGAAGCAAATGTAAATCCTTCAAATAAACATCTTTATTGTTCCCTTGTGGACTTTTAAAGCTAAATATGGATTTTATGAAATAGTTACCTTGGTCCAGCTTGAACAAATGTAAGTACGTGTGACAGACCAAACCAGGACAGGAGCTTTTGAAGGGGACTGCAGGCTAGCCCCTTACATACTGACCATGTGCCCTGGCATCTGAGGGGGTTCTATTCTTTGTAGGTGTGTGCCTGGGGGGAACTTTTACTTTGGATTCAGGTCCATGTGTCCCCCGAAACACACAGACTCTGAGAACTGGAGGATGAGGATACAGATTTTGTTTTGGGGACACATGGACTTGAATCCAAAGTAAAAAATCCCCCCAGGCAATAGGCTAGCCTGCAGTCCCCTTCAAAAGCCCCTGTCCCAGTTGGGTCTGTCACAGTATGCATATGTCATACCAATGGGACAGCCATAAAAGCAGAGAATCTCTGCAATAGTCTTCACTACTACAGAAATTGCCGCTGTCTTTCATGTCCCATGCCAAACAGCTGCCCTGCTGCATAGTAAACACAGGGGAGTGCTTGCTTGGCACAGAACATCTTGTATTTTTCTCAATAAACGCAAGCTGTCCTCTGATTGGACTAGGGGGTGATTGTGACCTCACCGTCCTGCTCTCATCACCTTGACAAATGCATCCTTGCATTCATCCACACTGGACCATTGTAACTATGCAAAAGTAGCCGTATCTGGGATTCAATTTTAATAATATAAAAATGTAATATACTATGGAAATACTATATGAATATTCTATAGAAATGTTTTTAGATATGTATAATTTAATTTTTTTGCTTCCTTCTTTTTAGCCAGAAGAACTTGTTGCCTCTGAACATGAAAGGAGAAAACTAGAGAGAAGTGTAGGTTGGGAAGTCATACCGATTCTCTACTGTAAAGGATTCATCTTGTAATACGATGTTGTGTAGAAGGACCAGGAGTCAGGGAAAATGGTCGCATTGAAAGCAAGCAACAAGTGTGCCATTTCTTTATTAAAGATATACTTTTATACTGCCCAGTTAGATTGCTTTTCCTGCAAAAAAGAACCATAGACCAAAGGAAATGTAGAGTACAGTTTTAAATACTGAAAATACCAAATAGAGGTAACTACCCATCCACTCCAATTCCTAAAATGGGCGATCAGTTAATATGAAAACCAATTATTGGCTGTCACGGTGATCACGAGATTGGGAGCCCATCTTACTGGCTTTGGATCATTATTATGTGACCTGGAGCTGTCAGTGGCAGTGTGATCATAGTGCTGGGGGGTGCCTGATTGAACGCTAAACAATGACGTATATACCTGTACAGTGTATGGCAATAGGGCTGGAACAAGGGATGGGCAGGAGGGGCGACTACCCTGGGCATGGTTGGGGATTTGGAGGATTGTGCTAGAAGGGGTGATTTTGGAGGGGATCTGTACTAGGAGGGTGGATTTGTGTTAGGAAGAGGGATTTGGGTGGGGGTGGGGTGGTGGTATGATTTGTGCTAGTAGGGATGATTGGGCAGATTTGAGCTAGGATAAATTAAGGGGGGGGGGAATTAATGCTTGGAGAGAGGATTTGGAGGGATTTGTGCTGGGAGAAGGGAATCTGGAGGAGGGAGAGAATTTATGCTCAGAGGGATAATTTGAGGGGTAAAGGATTTGTGCTAGGAGGGGAGATTTGGGGAGGGAGCAGATTTGAGCTGGGAGGGGGGATTTGTACTGGAAGAGGGAATTTTTGCTTAGGGGGTAAGTGTGAAGATCAGTGCTTGAATTTTTTTTTGGGAGGGGATTTTTTCTGATACACAATGCTCATACATTGGGGTGGGGCTGGCGTTTGACATTTTTGCCCTGGGTGCTAGATGACCTTGTCCCAGAACTGTATGGCAGCACAAACTAAGGCCAACCTCCATGCTGCCATATATATATGTGTAAGGTTGCTAGGAAGGTGATAAGATGGAGGAAAGAACTTGAAGTGTATGTTACCCCAAAAAAATGTGTGTTCACATTCTGTATGTGTATTTTATAAATTATAGTCTCTATCATTTTCATGTACTTCTTCCATCTGAAGTACTTGATTGATCCTGCCAGTCACTTTTCTTCTAAACTGACCACACAAAGCACAGAAGTTGATCTGTTATGTTGTGGTCAGTTTTCATCCTTTGGCTGGCCATTCATAGGTACAGGACACTGTGCAGACACCCAGCATGCCTGTATCGGGTAGTTTGTTCAGTTGTAAAACACTAGGAAATTAATGCTAGCTTCCCATAAGCAAGATGGCAGCACCAGGGATCCAAAAACTGGCAAAGAACCGGCCCAGGTGATGATAGCGCTGGGTCCCTGGACTGGTAAGTGTTAAAGACAGCAGCTGCAGTATTTGTAGCTGATGACTTTTAATTTTTTTTGTAACTGACTAGAGCTTCTTTTAAAAGACAAGTGTGAATCCTCTACACCGTTACCCCAATGATTATTTTATTACAGCTTTTCGGGAATCAAGACGAAATCAAGGAGGAGCTTGAGAGCATGAAGAAGATCCACAACACTCAGCAACAGAAGCTGGAGGAAAGGGTGTAAGTCTTACTTGTGAACATACTGTTTAAGTCACATCAAGCCCCCTATGGAATAATACAGGCCAATGACGTTACGTATATTATCCAGCGGGCTGAGTTCAGTCACACTACTGAGATTATGTATAAGGCAGTGTATGGTGGTCTACCCTTAATCCGACCACGTGTGGCAAGTAGGTGAAGTGATCTAACTTCCTTTTCTCTTTTTTTGTGGAAATTGCAAAGCAGTTGAACACCTATAGCTCTGTATTTAGTGACACTCATGCTCTCTACTATTGGAGCACTCTAGCTCTGATTCAGTACGGGGCATGCCTGACCTCTGCGGAGAGACCGCTGCTTCCACACAGAGAGCAAGAGTCCTTCTCTGCAGTATACTGGCAGGGGATGGCCTTTTCTACTCAGACTGAGGCTGCTTTCTAAAGGCAATAAAATGTTTGTGATGAAGACCACACTGGATCAGTCACTGGTCATAGGTGGGTGGTTGTGTGGGTAAGGAGATGTCCCTCCAGTTGATTGTGCCCAATGCTCGATACTGGCCTCTTAGTGTTTGGGCTGCTGCCTTCTGGTATGGCCTTAAGGTCGTTTCCACACGTAGACTTGGAATAATAGGAAAGAAAGAGCACCCAATGTCCAAAAGAATTCACTTTTGATTAAGATTAGGAGCCATTTATTGAGAATATCAACAAGTACATCAAGCCAACGCATTTCGGAATAAAAGACTCTCCCTTCTTCAGGGCTGTTGCTGCATGCTATTAAATGGGAAAGATGATATATTTTCAAGGTTTCAGAGGAAAAACTAACAGAGTTACGGCTGTCATTCCAGGGGCAGCAATATCTTTGATATTCTCAATAAATGCCTCTTAATCTACCATCAAAAGTGCATTCTTTTGGACATTGGGCACTCCTTCTTTCCTATTATTCAAAGGCAATACAATGTGAGACTTTAAATGCCTTTTATATCGATGCATCTGGAAGGTGTTTAACTGATTTAAACTGACAGTTTAATTGGGCAGGGGTGGACATTGTCAGCAAAGGGTCACTGTGTGGAAACAATTCTCCCCAACTCCGTTAATGACAACAAGTATTCACGGTGTATAGAGAGATAGGTGCAGGTGAACAATAGTCCTTGTGTGTTCTGAACTCTCTCACAGCCCATAATATCCAATATAAGGCCTAGCCAGTCTCCAGACCTAAATCCAATAGAAAATCTTTGGAGGGAGCTGAAACTCCGTGTTGCTCAACGACAGCCCCGAAACCTGGCAGATCTAGAGGAGATCGGTGTGGAGGAGTCGGCCAAAATCCCTGTTGCAGTGCAAACCTGGTCAGGAACTACAGGAAACGTCTGACCTCTGTAATTCCAAACAAAGGCTTCTGTACCAAATATTAACACTGATTTTCTCAGGGGTTCAAATACTTCTGTTCAGCAGTGCAAGACAAATGGGTGGGAATGCACCTACAATGTGAATCTCAGACCCCTCCATGATTTCTAAGTGGGAGAACTTGCAAAATCGCAGGGTGTTCAAATACTTCTGTTCCTCACTGTATCAATGCCAATCAGGAGATGCTCGCTGCACAACATCACTTAGATATTACAGACCTGGTGCATAAATATGGCATGACCTTTCCACCCGCCCTATGAATAGGCAATGGCCAGGTGTACGAGATAGGGGGAGGGGGTCCCAGCATAATATGGATTTGAATGCTGGGACCCCCTAAATCCCAGAAGACCCTCATGTAGCTGCACTGTCGGCAAAAATAATGTGTCTACCTTCAGGGATGTATTTACCACAAGGCAAACAAGGCATTTGTCTAGGGTGGCATTTTTCAGGGGGGCAGCACTGCCCCTTGGAAGAAGGGACGGAAGAAAAGACACATGCGGCATGGGCACCTGGTGGGTTCCAAGAGATGCTGTGGGTTTCATGAAGGTGTATGTACAGCCTGACTCTCGTTCCCAGGGATGTCCAAAGCTGTGAAGGTGAGTGTATTTTCTCTCTCTCGCCACGGGGATGGTGGCTGGTGTATGGGGGGCAGTGGTAGTGGAAGGCTCTCTTGGGTGGGAGGCTGGGGTGTTGTCGGTCAGGCTCTCTCTGCGGGGGGCGCCAATTTTTGTGTTGCCTAGGGCAGCACAAAACCTAAATACACCACTGTCTACCTTTCAATGTGGCCAACAAGTATAATATTGGAGTTAAATGGATTTCTGTTGGTGTGACTGCTAACTTTGACTAGCTGTTGGTTGACCTAGTTATGCTCATTTGCTCCCTGGACCAGTGTCTTTGGTGTTTCATGTATTTAGAAACTAAAAATTCCCATATGAATTTTGTTAGCCTATACATTTATTATAAGGTAACTCTGACCAATCCACCAACAGGGTAGCGATGGGTAAAGAGCTACAGGAGGCAAAAAGGGCTATTCGCAACACCCAGCACAAGATGGCTGAACAGTCGGCGGTAAGTGTTCTGTACAATAGATGCAGATTATGAAATAATCCAGTTTCATAAATATACACTCACCGGCCGCTTTATTAAGTACACCTATTCAATTACTTTGTAACAAAAATTGCTAATCAGCCAATCACATGGCAGCAACTCAATGCATTTAGGTATCTAGATGTGGTCAAGACGACTTGCTGAAGTTCAAACCGAGCATCAGAATGGGGAAGAAGGGGATATAAGTGACTTTGAACATGGCATGGTTGTTGGTGCCAGACAGGCTGGTCTAAGCATTTCAAAAACTGCTGATCTACCGGGATTTTCATGCACAACCATCTCTAGGGTTTACAGAGAATGGTTAGAAAAAGAGAATTTATCCAGAAAGTGGTAATTGTGTGTAAAATGTCGTGTTGAGGTCAGAGGAGAATGGGTAGACTGATATGAGATCATAGAAAGGCAACAGTAACTCAAATAACCACTCGTTACAATCAAGGTATACAGAATACCATCTCTGAATGCACAACATGTCCAACCTTGGAGCAGATGGGCTACAGCAGCAAAGGACCACACCGGGTGGCACTCCTGTGAGCTAAGAACAGGAAACGGAGGCTACAATTTGCACAGGGTCACCAAAATTGGACAATAGAAGATTGGAAAAACGCTGCCTGGTCTGATGAGTCTCGATTTCAGCTGCAACATTCAGATGGTAGGGTCAGAATTTGGCGTAAAAAACATGAAAGCATGGATCCATCCTGCCTTGTATCAACAGTTCATGGAAGAACAGCCAACAAATCTACAGTAACTGTGTGATGCTATCATGTCAATATGGACCAAAATCTCTGAGGAATGTTTCCAACACCTTGTTGAATCTATGCCACGAAGAACGAAGGCAGTTCTGAAGGCAAAAGGGGTCCAACCCGTTACTAGGAAGGTGTACCTAATAAAGTGGCCGATGAGTGTATATACATGCAAGAAGGCTGCCTTGCTGTGATTGGGTGAATGGCACCTTCATGGACCATGGGTAGATCCAAGGAGGGACCTTTATTTCCATAACGTGGACATCAGTGATGATGATGATAATAACACCATTCCTTCTCCAGGTCCTCCTGACCTCCCAGAGCCAGATGAAGGAAACTGAGGCAGAAAACTCACGTCTCCAGCTGCAGCTAAAGGAACTGAATGAAGAATATCGATCCCGTCTCAACCGCTACATCCAGGACTTGGCTGTAAGTATACATAAACATCACAACCCTGTCATACAACGTACGTACAATTGCCTTTTAATGTAGAGGTTTCCTTTACAACAACCTTGGACATACAGTCTGGTATAGACCTTTTTTCTTGGATTTCATATAATATGATAATCCTCTAATCCTGAATTCCATAACTCTTATTTGTGGGACATACTGTATAGTACTGGTACTGACCATGGCAGTTTGTTTTGTCTCATATGTAGGAATACGTGGATGGGAATCTGAGAAATGGTACATCTGGGAGGTTGCAGCTGGAGCCTGCTCGCTTGAAGCAATATGTGGACAGCATGCTGAGTGACATGAAAGCTTCACACAGATCTAGAGAGGAGCAGCTCGCCAGCGCCGCTCGGCAGTACAAAAAGAGGATGCAGAATCTGGTCAAAAAACACGAGAGCCTTCTCATTGCCTATCGGTGAGAGGGGGTGATGAGCAGTCAGACACGCTGGGTGTTTTCTCACTACAGATGAAGACCAACATCTCCAGTACTGTATGATCAACCACACCATTGTGACAGCACTAGGTCACGTGGGCAGAAGTTGCAACTTGAAACCTATTAAGAAAGCCCCCCGTTTTGTCTTTGTTGTTAAAACAAAAACTGGAGTCTCACAACTTTTTATCTCTTTCACTGCTCCCCTTGTAGCCAGGGGTGTATTTACCACAAGGCAAACAAGGCACTTGCCTAGGGTGGCATTTTTCAGGGGGGCAGCACCTCCCACCAGAAGAAGGGATGAAAGAAGGGACATGCACACCATGGGAACCAGGTGGGATATGAGAGAGGCTGTGGGCTGCTTGATGGTGTATGTAGAACCTGACTCTTGTTCCCGGGAATGTCTGGAGCTGTGAAGATGAGTGTCTTTCTCCCTATCGCTGGGGAAGGGGGGGGGGTAATGGAAGCTTCTCCCAGGTGGGGGGCAGGGGTGTTGGTCAGTGCCCGTGGGGCAGATGATTTTTGTGTTGCCTAGGGCAGCACAAAACCTAAATACACCACTGCTTGTAGCATGTTATAATTTGCAGCCGATTTTTCCTTGACCTTAAGATATTTTCCCTCAGTGAAAAGGCAACTTCCTGCCCTCCCACTGCAGTGCTCTGTACTGGCAGAGCTGAGTAATAGCCACACCCCTTAGCACAAGGGTCCTGTATTGCAGAGAGAGAGAAAGGGGGCCTGTCTGACTAGGTCTGTTAATAAGTGCTGATTACTGAGTGCACTGGATCTAAAGCTGATTATACACTGTTAGTTTTTTATCATTCGGCCACAAACAAGGTATATGGAGGAATTCCCCAACCCCCGCCCCCCACATCCCCATTGTATTCTGACATTAGCACCCTTCAGAATACATTGATAAGAAACTGCAGCTGCTGACTGCAGTCGCTGATCTAAGAAAAATGATTAAAAATATCCCTTCGACAGAAGTTAATCAAATGTTCAACTTCTGTCCATCAATTGAGAAAGATCCATACTGGTTGAAATTCGGCTGGTTCCTGCTGAAATAATTTCCATCAGTGTATGGCCAGTTTTAACTCTGATGCCTATTGGCCTGTACAGTCATGTTTAGACACCCCATAACAACTGCTGCAACTGGAAAATTGAGGTTGTAAGTACAATGTCCATCTGACTGGACATCTATTTTTATGACTAAAGCTGGGCTTTAAGCTGTGCCACTAAAGGACACTTAAGACTAAGCCCCGGTGGTTGGGGTGAACCACATCAGAAGGGTGTGGCTTACCAGAGACATATAGACTGAGGCCGCTCCTCACTCCTATGTAGCATGGGCTGGTTGGCAGAGTGGTGGTCTCTTTATTAATGTGGGAGTTACCCTCTGGATTAGTATACGGACACATCAAAACCCTGCTTCCTTGTGGATCTAGGGAAGAGCCTCCTTCTCAGCTTTGAGTGGCACTGCAAGCATTCTTATCTATGTCACTAAAGGAGTCATTTGCCATGTCTGAGTCCACATATTATACCAAAGATCTGCCATAGAGCCTGTTTTGAGGTTCTACAAACAACCTTCAGACAAAATATAGTGATGGGACAATCCTGGCTGAAATGGATGTAGACCATACTATTATATGTGTGCACTTTTGTCTTACAGCATGCAGAGAGAGCAGATTCAGGCTCTGGGAAGCAGTGAAGTGGACCCGGGACCCCCTGAGCACCATTTCTCTATCACTGACCCAGAGCTGCAAAGTCAGTCCGCCTTGGAATTAAGCCGACTGCGAGAGGACAAGGCTCGACTGGAGAACAAGATCCTGGATTTAAAGGAGAAGGTCAGTATAAACTGGTGTAGCCATGGACAATGAAAACAGGTTTTTAAAAAGACTATATTATGTTTTAGAATTTATTTTTTTGTTATATTCGGGATTAAGAATCACAATTTGTTGTTGGTATTTTGAATTTTATTAATTTTATTTGTTGGGCGAGTGGAAGCCAGTGGAGGGATTGGCAGAGAGGGGTGGAGGACACTGAGTGGAGGCCAGTGGAGGGATTGGCAGAGAGGGGTGGAGGACACTGAATGGGGGCCAGTGGGGGGATTGGCAGAAAGGGATGGAGGACACTGAGTGGAGGCCAGTGGAGGGATTGGCAGAGAGGGGTGGAGGACACTGAGTGGAGGCCAGTGGAGGGATTGGCAGAGAGGGGTGAAGGACACTGAGTGGAGGCCAGTGGAGGGATTGGCAGAGAGGGGTGGAGGACACTGAGTGGAGTCCAGTGGAGGGGTTGGCAGAGAGAAGTAGCAGACACTGAACGGTTGGGAAGGTAGATGAGCCTGGCATCAGTATTCATGATGGACTGGAGGGGAGATAGCCTATGTAAAGGTAATCCAATGAGGAGGTAGTTGCGGACGTCGAGGCGAGAGATAACCAGGTAGTGAATTAGGAGCTTTGTGGTACCGTTGGTTAAAAAGGGGTGTATTCTGGAGATGTTGCAGAGGTTGAGGCGGCATGATTTCGACAGGGATTGGATGTGGGCCTGAAAAGATAGTTCAGAATCTAGGGTTACACCTAGCACTCTGGTATGCGGGGATGGGTTGATAGTGGTGCTATTGATCCTGACCAAGAAATCAGGGAAGCAACACATGGAGGAGGAAATATTATGAACTCAGTTTTGGAGAGATTAAGTTTTAAGAAGTGGTGTGACATCCAGTCTGATATGTCTGTTAGTAAATCGGTGATACGAGAGGAAACTGATGGGGTGAGCTGAGGAGTAGAGAGATAGATTTGTGTGTCATCAGCATAGAAATGGTATTGGAAGCCATGGGAAGCTATCAGCTGACCCAAGGAAGAGGTGTAGATCGATAATAAGAGAGGTCCAAGGACAGAACCTTGGGGGACCCCAACAGTAAGAGGAGTAGGAGAGGAGGAGGTAAATGGACGCAGTCACTGCTCAGAGCCAACCAGTAAAAATCAACAATGTGTAACTAGTGGTGCTGACTACACACTGCTGTTTTTTTTTACATCATCTCCTTAATGGGTCATTCATATGGCAGCAGTGCATGCAAAAGGTAGTCATTCAGTATTGGTTGGGATCATTCTGCGCATGCGTCACTGCTGAATAAATGACTAATTCAGAGAAAGATATAAACATAAATAGGAACATTCAGATATGTGGAAAGCAGTAAGGGCACCACACCAATGGTGTTGGAGTCCAGGGTGGTTTTTTTATTAGACATTGAATAGAATAAGAAAGCCGACGAGTTTCAAGAGACACACATCCCCTTCGTCAGGGCTTACATATTGTACAGCTTCAGAAATGCCTGGACTCAGAGAAATAGGAAAATGCTTGTAAATACAATGTTGAGTGTTAGCACCAGTAATAATTGCCCCCTTTTTACCCTATTGATTATCTAAAAAAAAGACCACTGTGGACTCTAACGCCAATGGTGCGGTGCCCTTACTGCTTTCTACATATCTCGGTTTCTTTTTTGGCCTGGAGTATATGAAATATTGCACTTAATACTTATTAATTGTCACTTGCAGACAGCAGCTGGTGCCCTAGGGGCTGTAAATGCAGTTTTTTTCTGCACAGTACTTAGCTGTTGTGTTGTGAATAGCCTGTGAAGCAGACTCGGCAGAAGTGTTTGCATACACGCCTCTTGAAAACCATACAGTCATGGTCACGGTACATTTTAAGAAATGTGTTTTTTTTTAAAATTTCGATTGGTAACTGTCTTATATCTCACTTGCAGAGACGCATCAATGAAAATACAACATCCAATCAAAAGTAAGTATTAAAGTCAAATTCTGGGCTATATTTTTGTAGAAGTTTCCCATGAAGTTAAAAAAAAATGGCTGTAGTACTCACCTCATCTCCGTTGCTGTCTCCCGCAGTAATACTTTTTTACTACAAGATGTCCTCAGTTTTCTGGGTTAAATGGCACCCAGCATCATACATCGTTCTCATGGGCTCATCCCCCCACAATATATCCGCTCGACCAGCACTGCTACTGAGATAGAACTGAGAAATATTTGTATACAGCGATATTAACAGACGTATCTTCTATACTGTACAGATTACAAGGGGAGATGAGTGAGGAGAACTGGGCAGGGATCAGGAAACAGCTGAGAGAATTCACACACAATACACAGGTCAGTACTATACATACCGTGACCATATGATCAATTAAAGGGTTAGTCCATCCAGAACTGGATATTTCAGTAGTTGGTGGATACTGGAGGGTTGAACCAACCAACAATTTCTTTTGACATTAGGGTACACTATTAGGAGGGTCCCAGGAGTAAGTTCCTGTGGTGCTAATTCCCTACATAGAGTTCCTGGGTCTGTTCACCTGCTGTGCCCATTATGAGGACTTCCCACCATCCATGTGCTGAGTTCCTAGGTTTGTAGACTTGCTGTGCCCATTATGAGGACTTCCCACCATCCCTGTGCTGAGTTCCCAGGTCTGTATACCTGCTTTTCCCATTATGAGGACTTCCCACCATCCCTGTGCTGAGTTCCCAGGTCTGTACACCTGCTCTGCCCATTATGAGGGGTTCCCACCATCCCTGTGCTGAGTTCCCAGGTCTGTACACCTGCTGTGCCCATTATGAGGACTTCCCACCATCCCTGTGCTGAGTTCCTGGGTCTGTACACCTGTTGTGCCCATTATGAGGACTTCCCACCATCCCTGTGCTGAGTTCCCAAATCTGTACACCTGCTGTGTTCATTATGACGACTTCCAACCATCCCTGTGCTGAGTTCCCAGATCTGTACACCTGCTGTGCCCATTATGAGGGCTTCCCACCATCCCTGTGCTGAGTTCCTCGGTGAGTACACCTGCTGTGCCCATTATGAGGACTTCCCACCATCCCTGTGCTGAGTTCCCAGGTCTGTACACCTGCTGTGCCCATTATGAAGGGTTCCCACCATCCCTGTGCTGAGTTCCCAGGTCTGTACACCTGCTGTGCCCATTATGAGGACTTCCCACCATCCCTGTGCTGAGTTCCTCGGTGAGTACACCTGCTGTGCCCATTATGAGGACTTCCCACCATCCCTGTGCTGAGTTCCCAGGTCTGTACACCTGCTGTGCCCATTATGAAGGGTTCCCACCATCCCTGTGCTGAGTTCCCAGGTCTGTACACCTGCTGTGCCCATTATGAGGACTTCCCACCATCCCTGTGCTGAGTTCCTCGGTGAGTACACCTGCTGTGCCCATTATGAGGACTTCCCACCATCCCTGTGCTGAGTTCCCAGGTCTGTACACCTGCTGTGCCCATTATGAGGACTTCCCACCATTCCTGTGCTGAGTTCCTGGGTCTGTACACCTGCTGTGCCCATTATGAGGGGTTCCCGCCATTCCTGTGCTGAGTTCCAAGGTCTGTACACCTGCTGTGCCCATTATGACGACTTCCAACCATCCCTGTGCTGAGTTCCAAGGTCTATACACCTGCTGTGCCCATTATGAAGGGTTCCCACCATCTCTGTGCTGAGTTCCAAGGTCTGTATACAAACTATGCCCATTAAGAGGGGTTCCCACCATCCCTTTGCTGAGTTCCTAGGTCTGTACAGCTGCTGTGCCCATTATGAGAGCTTTCCACCATCCCTGTGCTGAGTTCCTTGGTCTGTACACGTACTATGCCCATTCGGAGGGGTTCCCACCATCCCTGTTCTGAGTTCCAAGGTCTGTGCACCTGCTGTGCCCATTATGAAGACTTCCAACCATCCCTGTGCTGAGTTCCAAGGTCTGTACACCTGCTGTGCCCATTATGAAGGGTTCCCACCATCCCTGTGCTGAGTTCCAAGGTCTGTATACGTACTATGCCCATTAAGAGGGGTTCCCACCATCCCTTTGCTGAGTTCCTAGGTCTGTACAGCTGCTGTGCCCATTATGAGAGCTTTCCACCATCCCTGTGCCGAGTTCCTTGGTCTGTACACGTACTATGCCCATTCGGAGGGGTTCCCACCATCCCCGTGCTGAGTTCCCAGGTCTATAAACCTGCTGTGCCCATTAGGAGGGGTTCCAACCATCCCTGTGCTCAGTTCCTCAGTCTGTATACATACTGTGCCCATTATGAGGGGTTCCAACCATCCCTGTGCCGAGTTCCTCAGTCTGTATACATACTGTGCCCATTAGGAGGGGTTCCCACCATCCCTGTGCTCAGTTCTGGGTTATATGCTTATTTTTCTCTCCAGGAGGAAATGGAGAGGGAGAGGAGTCAGCTACTGTCGCGGGCCGTGGTGGCAGAGGAGCAGGTGGCGGAGCTGCAGGAATATGTGGATAAACACCTGGGAAGGTGGGTTCACCATCACATGAACTGTTATATGTCTATCTCTGACCCAGTGTAGAAAACAAACTCACACTATATTGGCCTAGTTATAAAGATGAATTCAGTGGGACCTACTTTTTGAATTTTCTCTTTTTCTGCAGGTACAAACAAGAGATAATGCGCTTACGTAAGCTTCTCGGCAGCGAAGGGTCACGGGCATTCAGCGCTGACGGCCCTCACTCCTACCAATCCAGAGGGGCGAGGAGAAGCAGCCATGACATGTGACCTGCCTGCTTCAGTGACTGCTCTCAGTACTGCACGCTGGCCACCATGACCGTGGACTGAAAACACAGCCAGGTGCTGACCTGACCAATGTTCACCATTTATTATATAACCAAAAGGTCTGTGTTTGGGAAGACGGCCTTCTTCATCAATGTTGCTGCAGACAATACAACAAATACCATAAAAAAAATCAACCATCACAAGGCTCCACATTTCAGAAGAATTTATTGGTGATATAAAAATATCATTATTTAAGGCAGATATATTAGAAATAATATATAAAACAATAAAATGGATAAAACCGTTATTACATTTTAAATATGTATATATTTCTTTTATAAATTAAAAAACAATAATATGTGATTCAAATATGTCATTATGTTTTATGATCACATTGTGGCTCCCTTGTCCCAGGGCTTTGGCACTGATACCCGAGGTATACCAAATATGTATCTAATAGCTGCAATGGCACTTACACTGATGATTGGATGATTACTGAACTCTCTGAAAATACTTTGTTTAAATCGGCTAACTACAGTCGAGGTGCATGAAAAAAAAATGTGTGCTACATCTTAGGGCTCATTCACATGGGCGCAGAGACCGGTACAGCATGTGAGCGCCGTGTCAGTGTGGAGCTGTATGCAGGCAGTCTGTTAGTTAATATAGACGTATCGGCTGAACGGACTCACCTGCTTATCCAAGCCTGGCAGGCATGCAAAGACGGGTGCATGGCCTTATAGGCATACCCCTTTTTTATACGTTAAAAAAAAATCTGAAGAATATATTTTAAAACATATATTCTTCAGATTTTTTTCAACATATCAAAAAGTTATTCTAACATATATTTGTAAATACAATTCCAAAAATGTAGATTTTTACTTTTAAAGACATACAGTATATTTGAAATGTATTTTTTTTTAAATATTTTTCATATATTTTGTAATAAAAATGCATTTCAACATACGGTATGTGTATATATATATATATAAATATATGTATATGTATATATATATATATATATATATATATATATATATATATCTATATATATATCTATATATGTACAGTTGTGTTCAAAATAATAGCAGTCAGACATCACTAACCGGATCAATCACTGTTTTTGGTGGAAATTATATTTCTACATGGTAAATAATTTCCTAGCAGGTTTAGTGGAGTCATAGAAATCCAACAGACCCAACAGTCATGACATGCATGCTGCTGATTCTGTGTCATTGAATCACTCATTGAAAGGGGCATGTTCAAAATAATAGCAGTGTGGAGTTCTATTAGTGAGGTCAGTCATTCTTTGAAAAACAGGTGGCAATTATTGCCCTTATTTAAGGAAGGAAGGCAGCAAATGTTGTACATGCTGGTTACAGTGCATTTCTCTCTGAAATTCTGAGCAAAATGGGTCGTTCCAGACATTGTTCAGAAGAACAGCGTACCTTGATTAAAAAGTTGATTGGAGAGGGGGAAAACATATAAAGAAGTGCAGAAAATGATCGGCTGCTCAGCTAAAACGATCTCAAATGCTTTAAAATGGCAACCAAAACCTGAAAGATGTGGAAGAAAGCGAAAAACTACCATAAGAATGGATAGAAGAATAGCCAAAATGGGGCGGACTCAGCCAACAATCAGCTCCAGGAAGATGAAAGAAGGTGTGACGTTCCCTGTGAGGACTGTTACAATTAGAAGACGCCGATGTGAAGCCAAGCTATCTGCAAGAAGTCCCCGCAAAGTCCCACTGTTGGGAAAAAGACATGTGCTGAAGAGGGTACAATCTGCCAAAGAGCACATTGACTGGCCTAAAGAGAAATGGCGCAACATTTTGTGGACTGATGAAAGTAAGATTGATCTTTTTGGGTCTAGTGGGCGGAGACAGTTTGTCAGACGACCCCCAAACACTGAATTCAAGCCACAGTACACTGTGAAGACAGTGAAGCATGGTGGTGCAAGCATCATGATATGGGGATGTTTCTCATACTACGGTGTTGGGCCTATTTATCGCATACCAGGGATCATGGATCAGTTTGAATACATCAGAATACTTGAAGAGGTCATGCTGCCTTATGCTGAAGAGGAAATGCCCTTGAAATGGGTGTTCCAACAAGACAACGACCCCAAACACACCAGTAAACGTGCAACATCTTGGTTCCAGACCAACAAGATTGACGTTATGGAGTGGCCAGCCCAATCCCCGGATCTTAATCCAATAGAAAACTTGTGGGGTGACATCAAAAATGCCGTTTCTGAGGCAAAACCAAGAAATAGAGAAGAACTGTGGAATGTGGTCCAATCATCCTGGGCTGGAATACCTGATCACAGGGGCCAGAAGTTGGGTGACTCCATGCAACACAGATGTACAGCAGTTCTCAGAAACAGTGCGACTACAACCAAATATTCATGAAGTCATTCAAAGGAAAGCAAAATCTTCAAACATTTCTCAGTTTATATAGTGAATGTTTGAGTTTGTAAAGAAGAATACAAACACTGCGATTTTTTTGAACCGTCTAATATTCACTTTTCTTCAATTGTTTTAGAGGAACAACACAAATTTGATATCTTTTTCTTCATGTTTTGATTTGGAATAGAATGTGTCGTGTTCCCAATGCATTTGTGTGGATGGAAATAAAAGCTATTAGAAGGATTTTGAGCTTTATTCACTTTTTTCAACACAAACTGCTATTATTTTGAACACAACTGTACCTAGAACACCACTAACCCTAGGTTCACATCAATGCAGTCATGTGGGTCGCGTTTTGCGCAGACATGAGAGCCCAGTCATTTGAATGGACTCCCGTGCCCCGTGACACACAGGGAAGAAGTCCCTGCACTTCTTCTGAAAACACAGCCCACGCAGGAATCTCAGTTCCCAGTGCGGTTGCGTTTTCCAGTGCGGGCGGCGTTCCATTAGAACTAATGGCACCCGCCCGCGGGTCCGCATTCCTCTGTGCGGGTGGTGCGGCTGCACGGATTTTCATACGGATCCGCAGCGGCACCACCCGCACAGATGTGAACCTAGCCTTAACACAGGTGTAGAGATTGCTTCAATGAGCATGCGCATCATCCAGCTACAGTATACATTTACCTCCTGGAGGAGATAGTTGAGCTTTTCAAACATCTGCTATTATATGCCAATTTCTCCTGTATATTATACATTCATAAGTAAAGTTGATCCAGGAAATATGTGATTGCCTCTCGGGGGATCAGGAAGGAATTTTTTCCCTGCAAGAGCAAATTAGATCATGCTTTGTTGCGGGGTTTTTTTGTCTTCCTCTGGATCAACTGTGGGTGTAGGATTCAAACTTTTTTTTTTTTTTCCTATGGTTGAACTGGATGGACTTTTGACTTTTTTCAGCCAGACTAATTATGTAACTATATCATACTGACATACTGATTTTATTTTACCGGTCATAACTTCAATATGCAGGCGAGCGCAGAGTTCTCCTTACTGGCGTTTAATAGTGTCCTAAGTAAGGGCCAGCCACTGATGCCCAATACCACATAAAACACCATTGGTGAAGTTTCTGCAGTTACATTTTAAAATTAATGACAAAATATTATTGCGCAATGAGTGCAAATGTGATGTCACTTGAAGTAACCAATCACATTTTAGCTTTAAATATGTAAGAAGCCAAGAAAGTAAAGGTTGCCATCTGGTTGACTCATGTAGAGTCAGACCTATTTTTTCAATAGGTCGGATTGTGTTGCTGTCTGGCATACACAGAGATATACACACATACAGTATACTCACATAAATAAAAGATAAAATATGTCCGCCACAGATATATATACACCCATACTATCAGCCTCTCTGAGCAAATCCCCAAATAACCAAGCCATGTCATATTGGTGTCCTTGACCCCAGAGGTGATGTTAACTGCAAAAATCATTCAGCTTATCCACAGTCACACCTCAGTCCCATGCTGATTGGCTGTCGTGGCTTGCCGGACAGTCCTAAGATCATAGGCCCATGCTCTCTCTGTGCCCTCTCCAATGATGGCACTGGGTGCCCATGTCGGTAAGGGAAAGCGTCCTGTCACCACACGGGCATCATCAGGAAGCTCCTCCAGCATCTTCTCCTCCAACAACGTGAGCTATAACAGTAGACGGACATTAAAACTGAACTCCAGGCAACTGGCATTGGATGACATGAAAAAAAACTGAAGCCCTGACAAAACTGACAGGGAGAGAATACAAGAGGATAACAAGACACACACCTATCCCTGAGGGGCAAGATTAGATTTGTGAATTGATGTCATTCATTTTGAGGGACGGTTACACATAACCTGTCACTTTGCCCGTTCACCTGGGTTTTTTCTCCAGCCAAACAACGTCCCAGCCAAAAAACGCTGATTCCAGTCTATGTGTGTATGGACATACAGTATATGATAACATTCTGGGGGTTTACTGGCTGTAGAAAAAAACTTCAAAAGCCAAATACAGCCGCTGTAAAAACGTCCCGTGTGCATGAGGACTTACAGAGTTGCTGCTGTAGCTGTGGTGCTGATCTATGCAGCTACAGCTCACTACTGCACCTTGGCCATCAGCAGCTACATTGGAGAAGATAAGTGGTGAGAATGATAAGCCACCAGCACTCCAATGTAGGTTCTCACACATTTATTGGAGGAACATTACATAAGTCATATAAAGCTGATATTTCAGGGCCTCACAGGGTCCTTTCCTCAAGGTCACCATGTCACCTTGAGGAAGGGACCCTGGAAGGCCCCAAAATGTCCCCTTTATCTCGTGTCCCACCAATAAATGTGTGAGAATCTTTACTGAAGTGCTGGTGACTTGGATGGACTTTTGTCTTTTTTCAGCCAGACTAACTATGTAAATATGAAACTAGCGATTCTATATCAAGTTGCCATTACATACCTGAGAAACTCTGAACCAGGGGCGCATGCAAAATCCAAAAATAAACTTTACATCATCTGGAACATCCCCCATAAACACTCATTCATCTAACACTTTACATCATCTGGAACATCCCCCATACACACTCATTCAACACTTTACATCATCTGGAACATCCCCCATACACACTCATTCATCCAACACTTTACATCATCTGGAACATCCCCCATACACACTCATTCAACACTTTACATCATCTGGAACATCCCCCATACACACTCATTCATCCAACACTTTACATCATCTGGAACATCCCCCCATACACACTCATTCATCTAACACTTTACATCATCTGGAACATCCCCCATACATATTCATTCATCCAACACTTTACATCTTCTGGAACATCCCCCATACACACTCATTCATCTAACACTTTACATCATCTGGAACATCCCCCATACACATTCATTCATTCATCCAACACTTTACATCATCTGGAACATCCCCCATGCACACTCATTCATCCAACACTTTACATCATCTGGAACATCCCCCCATACACACTCATTCATCCAAAACTTTACATCATCTGGAACATCCCCCATACACACTCATTCATCCAACACTTCACATCATCTGGAACATCCCCCATACACACTCATTCATCCAACACTTTACATCATCTGGAACATCCTCCATACACATTCATTCATCCAACACTTTACATCATCTGGAACATCCTCCATACACATTCATTCATCCAACACTTCACATCATCTGGAACATCCTCCATACACATTCATTCATCCAACACTTTACATCATCTGGAACATCCCCCATACACATTCATTCATCCAACACTTTACATCATCTGGAACATCCCCCATACACACTCATTCATCCAACACTTTACATCATCTGGAACATCCCCCATACACACTCATTCATCCAACACTTTACATCATCTGGAACATCCCCCATACACACTCATTCATCCAACACTTCACATCATCTGGAACAACCCCATACACACTCATTCATCCAACACTTTACATCATCTGGAACATCCCCCATACACACTCATTCATCCAACACTTTACATCATCTGGAACATCCCCCATGCACATTCATTCATGCAACACCAACACATGGAAGACTCAGGAAACTATTGTAAGGTGAACACAATATACTGCAAATACTAAAGAAAGACACACCACCATGCACTCACCACACTGGGGGCCAGAAATATGGAGACGTTCTTGCAGTCATGTAGTTTCATCTGTGTGTGAAGAACATTCATGAAATTACAAATGAGATATGCATAAATCACCAAATACATGTATGTGCCTCTTCTTGGATGTCTCTCGGATGTTCTGGGTCACATTTCCTGATTTCAGAAAACAGCTTTTAGGGTATTTATTTATTTCAGGTACTTATATAGCGCTGTCAATGTACGCAGCGCTTTACATATATATTGTACATTCACATCAGTCCCTAACCCTCAAGGGGCGTACAATCTAAGGTCTTTAACTCACATTCATACATACACATACTAGGGACAATTTACCTACCAGCAGGTCTTTGGAGTTTGGAAGGAAACCGGAGTACCCAGAGGAAACCCACGCAGGCACAGGGGAGAACATGCAAACTCCAGGCAGGTGGTGCTGTGGTTGGGATTTGAACCAACGACCCGAGTACTGCCAACTGGAAGTGCTAACCATTTAGCCACTGTGTAGATTCATAACAGGTACAGTGTGACCACGTTGGGCGGCTTTTCCAGCACAGTCCCACCGCACCCTCTCTGGAAGACAAGGCTGAATACATTGTTTCCAATGTGGCCAGTTCACTCCACTGCATAGCGGTGTGCGCTGAAAAAAGTTCAGTACTTTCTGACAGCGCAGCACAATCACCTCGCATTGGCTGATAGTACTTTATGAAAAGTCACTGTGTGACATAATAATAAAGTTTGTTTTTAAAAAAGGAGCCTGTGCGATACGTTGCGATCAGCACTGCCTTCACCACATTGCACACCTGCTGCTGCCGCGTTGCAATGCAGTGGCTGGTGTGAATGTACTCATAAAGCGATTGTGAAGGCAAATTTTTTTTTCTTTTAAAATAACAAACATGTCTATACTTACCTGCCGTGTGCAGTGGATTTGCACAGAGCAGCCCCGATCCTCCTCTTCTCAGGACCTTCGACGGCGCTCCTGGCCCCTCTCTCCTGTTGAGTGCCCCCACAGCAAGCAGCTTGCTATGGGGGCAACAAGCAGGCTCCATTGACACACGGAGCCATGGCTTGGCTCCGCCCCTCTCCCTCCTCATTGACTGACTGGCAGTTATTGATAAAAGCGGGAGCCAATGGCGGAGAGGGAGTCCCAGGGTAGCCAATACTCCAGTGCACATCGCTGGATCGAGAAGAGGATTCGTTGAGTATTGGGGGGGTTGGGGGGCTGCTAAACAGAGAAGGTTTCTTATCTTCATGCATAGAATGCATAAAGATGAAATACTTTCTACCTTTACAACCACTTTAAGCCTGTGCCACAAAAAAAGTTTCTGCTTCTAAATCCCTGACATTCCCCCCCCCCCTTCCTGTGCTAGACAGACAATTCATCAGTGAGTGAAACCGACATATGGATGGTCTATCAATCTGAATGACACGTTCTGTACTACATGTGGAAAGCTTTAATAGAGCTCTGCATTTTCAAGTAGGGAATGACCCACCCACTGATACTGACCTTAACTGCACTTCCCCCACAACCATGTTTGAATGCTGGAGCTTACACAGGGTTTAGAACCTCTTTCCCTCCACCATGTGGCTATTGGCTCCTAGGAGGAAAGGGAGAAGGTCACATGACCGTGCCTAAAAGCTCCAGGTCTTTTTGAGGGCTTTGGCAGGGGGTGGTAAGGATGGTGGGTGGGTAAGGATGGTGGGTGCCTAACAAAAGGACATGTCACTTTGCACAATCTGTAAAAGAAAAGCATGGGGTGGCTTTTTTTTCAAATTCATACTTACGTAAGAGGATGCAGCATCAGTCCAATGCTGCATCTGCCCCCCCCCCCCCCACCGGCTCTAAGTGTGAGGACTCAGCGATCACATGACTGCTGATCGCTGAATTCTCACAGCTACTCTGAGCAGAGAGTGGGACTGTCAGTCACCGCTGTCTGCTCTGCCATCCCCCCGCGCTCACTGGAGCGCTGGGCTGTGGAGGAGGAGGGAGTGGCTGGCTCAGGCTCTCAAAGTCAGGATCTTTCCCCAGCCTGGACCAGCTGAGTGATGGCAGCCGACAGCAAACTTCAGCACACTCTCAGCTGAAAACAGATCACAAAGGAGTGCAGAACCAACTGCACTCCCATGATCCACAGGAGACTTACAGCCAAAAAAAGCTGTGGCTGCACTTCTCCTTTAAAGGCACTTTCACACTCATGCAGTCTGTTGTGGTGCGTTGCCACATGCACCTTAACCTCTTGGTGCCGGCCGAACGCAAATGTGCGGCCTCCCGGCGTCTGGACCTAGACGCTGAGCGGCCGCACATTTGCGTTCTATTAAAAAAAAACATATGTGCTGAGAGAACGCGCCCTGCGCACTCCCAGCACACGTCTGGTACTCACGGAAAGGTCCTGATCTCCTCTTTCCATCGGGACCTTTCCCGATCATTTGACCGCCGTGACGGCATGTCACGGCGGTCACATGACCCTAAACTCCGCCACACCTCTCAGCTTCTGAAACCTTTAAAGGGCCGGGAGGCGCCGGTGCCAAGGGGTTAATGTCCGGTATGGCATATGTTGTTGTGATTTGCTTTAAGCAGCATATACATTTTGAATGGGCTGCCATTGCAACTAAAACCAGACAAATCCCATGTTTTTCCTTGTCAAAGATTTTATTTCAACATGGAGCACATAAGAAAAAATAAAAAACAGACAAACATACAAACAAGCAGGCCATTGTGGGGCCGAATGTAAAACAAGGTACCGGCAGTACAAAGGGTGAAACAAACCCAAGACCCAATGACTTGGGAAAATGATACATATAAACAGTACAAAATAAATATATAGAACACAGAAGATTG